TTATCGATGAACATATCAAGTTCTATGAAATGAAATAATAAATAACATTGAAAGACTTTTAATTAGTTAACTGCACAAAATTCGATATTGTAATTTATGTCCATCAACTTGCCATGCGCTCGATAAGATTTCAATAAAATAAACCTTAGTTGCGCCATTAAAGATAGATAAGATTTCAATAAGATAAAAGTTTATTTAATTAAAAATAAATTTTGTTACTTATCTAAACTTTTTAAAAGATGTGAGACGTTGATTTAGAATATGTAAAAACAAAAATTATATCTTTTACATAAAAAATTCAAGCAAAAAATAAAATAATCGTTATTGTGTTATATTTAATAAGCAATCTTTGCGGACTAGTTCTGTATCTTTGTGGATTATAGTTCTGTATGTTTATTTGTCATCATTTGTTATTGAGAACATTGACTTCGTTTCTCGTAAAGCTGATTCCCGGATGCCTTTTGACGGATAGCAAGAAGAAGATAGAACGTGCGTTGGCCTTTATCAAGTTTAAGATAGAAGGACAGGCTGAAGAGTTTTAAGAAAAGACAGGCATGCAGGCAGGCTGATAACGCGTATGCATGCCGTGTAACACATAACTGTTAGCGCGCGTAATCGTTTCTGCGAAGAAATCGACAACTAATTTTACTCCAGGTCTCACGTTCGTCAAAGCGTGACGTAATCGGATTGAAACAATGTCAGGACGGGATGGAACTCGAAGCGATCAGCTAGAGCCCGTTACTAGCTAGAGCCCGGAGCGAGCCCATTCTGTCAGCCAAAATAAACAGAATGTCACGGATATAAATAAAGCTTTCATTCTCTTCGTTTTTCTTTTCGTTGTGAGACGCTGTCGTGCTTGACAGGGGTCCCTTGATCGGCGTGCATCCGTCGGAAACGCTAAAACTGTCGGGCCGTCGCTACGTCATTGACGGGAGTAATTATAGGACAAGAGATAAAGTTCGCGTTCTCAATTCAGTAGTTGTCTCAATTGTGAGATCAGCCGTGAAATGAGATGATCGAATCGGAAAAAAGCCGTTTCTACATCACTTTGAATAAAAGCTTTGTCTTACAGAACAATATTCTGCCTGACAAGCTGCGTCGATCGAGCAAAAGTTCGTCAACTAACGAAGAGTAACTGTTTATCATTTTAATGGAGTAACATTTTTTTAGCTTACTCAATCATCTGAAAATTTTACGGATTACTTTTATTATTCATGCAAAATTAAATCTTCGAATATCCAGTTTTGTACAATATATATGCTCATTTAATTTGAGGCTAAATACAATTTGAAATTTAACAAGCAAATCGGAAAAATATTTATAATTATATTGCGTATGCATTGACTAGTTTTACGGACAACGCAAATTATCAGAATAAAAATATTTTATAACAACAGCTGTTAATCAACATCTTCAATTTTTCTGTTTGGAGAGTTATTCATAAATTCCAATTGATCGATATCGAATACTAGAGTCCTTGTAAATTTCGCGATGCGTTGCAGTGAAGCAAATTACAGTGGAACAACTCGATTATATAGAATTATCAATGAGCTATATGTACGTGCACGTAATACCTTGTATATCTATCTATGTATTTTATTCAGAAAATAAGTTTCACGTTTGATAAACTAAGCTCGCGTTTTGCACACGAGCCTGGAGTTGCTTTATTCGAATTCGGTTTATGTCATTTGCGACGTAGTGTACACGAGATTCGTCTAACGACAAAGCAAGTATAATACTCTGATACCGGATAACCGGCACGCTCTCTTCTTGTTTACTATTTCCCTGTTTTACCGGGATTTGCATGTAGCCACGACGGTACTATTCATGGCGGTAGCTGCGCGCACGTCCTGCATCCTATATGGAAAAATCCTTTTCCGTATTGCACGTGCGCGTGGTTACGAATAGCCTGATCTCGGTTTCGGTTACACCACGCGTCGTGTCTATTCATTTTTATATACAACCATGGATACTATACACTTCTACCCTAGTTCCGTTCGGTCTGCCTGCGCCAGAAGTAAGGCGAGATTCGCTTTATCGGTGATCAAAATACCACAGGCGTTTGATTACACTACAAGTCATTCAGATTTATGCAAATACATATCTTAATTTTAATCTGAAAAATATAGATATATTAATTTACATAGCATTAATTCGCGCGCGCAGGTTATTATTGTGACACAGTTGTAATGCATTTTCCATTCTCTTTTTATATTTCATTACATTTTTCAGCGTCATATCTGAGTATTACGCAGTTGCATATTTTTATTATTACATTTATTTTATGTGCAATTTTAATTTTTGCACTCGTTATAGCTGCTTTAAATATTTAATTTATTGCGACGATATTGCTGTTATTATATTCTCTAGAGGTTTTCAATGTATGTATGACTATAATTAAATTATTTTTTTTTAACAATTTTTTTGCACAATCTTGATAAGCCAAAATTATAAATTAATAAAAAAGTCCACTAAAAATATATATCCATTAAATATACTTCTTTCAAAATCAATTTTTATTCTTTCTCATTATGTCTCATTATTATCGAATTTATGTCATTTCTTTCTGACAGAAACATGAATAATTTTCATCAAATAATATGGATATATGGATATATAGTCTTAATGGATTAAAAAAGAAAAAATTGAAATTGTGTGTGTGTGTATGTGCGGAGTCCGAATATCGATAAAAAAGAGTTCATCTGTATTATATTAGACAACATTGTTTCTTATTATACATTACTGTTTTTTCATAAAACTGTTTTATGATCATTATTATATATATTTTGACGTTATTTCTAGAGATTGTTCTGAGAAGGCATCTGCTAAAAAATTTCAGGAACTATTTGAGTTCTTTTTCTACTTACTAATTTAATTAAATATTTCTCGCATATTTGCTTTCGCCGTTCAGAGCCGGCTCTGCTAACTTGATTGAAAAATTAAGGCGAGTTTCATTGCGAAATCGTCGCGATTGAATGGTTAACCAACGAAGTAACTTCTGTTTAATGCTTCGCTACTGGTAAACAGGATCGAGCGTCGGTCCATGTAACGCGGTTACTTGATCCAGAATCTTGTTCGCGCAACTGCGCAAGCCCGACCGTAACAAACAAAGTGTCAGAATCAGGTTTCGGTTAGCGCTAAACGCGAGGTGTAAAGCCGCTTGAATCTTGGCGTGATTACAATTTGGCACGTCATTTACACGCAGCGCAGCTACGGCGCTCGAAACGGCGTTGCATCTCGATGTAAAAACCCGCCTGCGCGCGAGCATTCTCTGGGGGATTCTTATGCGGTGCAAAATGAAAAAGAAAAACAAAATGAGTAAAAAAAGAGGGGAAAAAGGACGCAAAGGGTAAAGCGTGGAGCAGGATAGTGAGCGAGTGACTGTAAAAGAGAGAGAGAGAGAGAGAGAGACAGAGACAGAGAAAGGAACAGGGGGAAAAAGAGAGAGGAAAGAAAAACCGAGAGGTCCAGCCGAGCGCAGCACGTGACGGGTGTCGTTAATATTTCATTAGCATTCGTTTTGCGTCGTCCCACCGACGTGCCCGGTTTTATATACGCTCTACGTTACACCCCCGTCCAGCCGGTAGTTGGATTTTTATTGCTAACGCGGCGCAGTTATCCGTAAAAAAATCGCGCGTTTTGCCGCGTCCGTTGACTCTCCCGTTGGTTTTCGCGGTGCCATTCGATACGCTTTTCGACGTTTTCGAATTTTTACATGGTCCTCTTTTCAACCACGCGACAGCACGCGACAGAACAAATTAGAAAACTCGTAGTTAAAATCTGCCACATGAATAATGAAACAATAAAATGTTTATAGGTTGCGAGGAATGATTTATTTTTTTTTCTATTATTTTCTTAACAATCACATTTTGATACTTCCGATAAAAACGTGATTGAGCACACATGAATATTAAAGTATGACTTAGAAGTTTTATTAATATATTGAAGTCCAACTGTAGCAAAAAAATTTTCTGATTTATAAAATATAAATTTCACAACAGAGTGAACTTTAAGAGAAAAGCCATTGTTAACCTGCTTTAGCAGTCTTCATTCCTGCGTCAGAATAGAATTATTCTGAATGGAATATCTATAGAATTCTAGAACAATATCCGGAGTTTTCACGGTGTCTGCGATTCGTCATGGCGTATTTACGAACAATGCAACGTTGTCCAAGTGAATTCACTAATGAAAGTCGAGGGTTTAAAAAGAAAAAAAAAGGTAAAGAGGTATTGGACGTGTCCCACGTAAGAATTTGCGCACAAGCCAACATTGTATTTTATGTTGTTGGTGAAATTTGCCCGCCTCTACCCATCCTTGCAATTTTTCCGGCCGACTTTACCGTCTTACTATTTGGTGCTTCGTAGCTCTATTATGTCTTCTTTGACTACGCAATCTCGACAAGCCCCTCAATTCAGCCAATTAATTAGCACTTAATGAACTTGCTTTGAACTGCATTCTATGCCCTTGCGACGCGAAGGGAGTCAACCTTGCCTTCGCGACTATTGTTGTTATTTTGCTCGGAATTCCGTTCTTAATCGTGCCAAAACTTCGAGATGATTGAGCGATTATTAAAAGAGCAATATCTTATTATACTTAATGTTATGAAAGAGTTATTATTTTTTATCGAAACTGAAACTAAGCGCCTATAATATTTGTATGAAATCAGGTTTAATGCATGCGCGTTGAGTCCGTTCTTATTAAAGCTTGGATCGGATTAAATATATCCTACCGAAATTAGATGCCTCCTTCTACTGATGTAGCACATCAGCATGTACTCTGATATTTCAGGAGTTGATCGATGGTAACATTGGGGCAAGTTATTATTCCGTTAATCTTTGCCATGTTTGCCCAGTGCAACAAAAAGTCAAAGTTGTTTGGAGAGGAAAGCTGCACTACGTTTCATTTAACAATATATTCGATACTATCAATCGCAGACTGTCAGAATTTCAATCTGTAACCTGAGACGGTGGTTCGCTAAGATAATTAAAATTTTCACTCACCGTTCCGATTCTCGCTGTCGGCCGGTTTCATCTGGATCGGATGGCGCATCTGCAAATAAAAAAGTCAACGATATAGTTTGCGTTTCTGCACTGGCCTGTATACGCGCGCGACCTTATTATCGGTGTTTCGAAGGCGGCCATAATAAAAGTAACATTCATTATTGATAAGATTGCCAATATCGTCAGCATTAGAGAGGCGGATGCCAGAGTGAAGTTCGTTTCACGCTTTTTAAAAAATGCAACGACGAGAAGCAGTTTTCCGCGATTCGCAGTTCGTTCTCGCCGTACTTTGTATAGAGGAAGGTCCATCCGGTTTTATCTAAGGATTCTTTCCTATTTCACACGCGAAACCGAAAATTGAGCGAAACGTAACACTGAAATAGCCTGTTTCATGAAGCAGTATTGTCGGCACAAACATATACCTATGTATTTATGGATGCAGAGTGGTGCTGCATATATAGGGTATCCTTAGACCAATCGTACCACCCGTTATAGCAGATTCCTACGGTTATTTGGAAATGAAAATATTTAGATTAGTTTTACATTTATTTTCTTAACGATATTAAAATAAAATTAATTGGGTTGACTTACCGGCACGATACGCAACAGCGGAATTGTTTACAAGTTGATCTGTAATATACAAAATACATCCTAATTACAGCAGCGTTTAAAATAATTATTTGAGAAATTATTATTACACACATTAAACTTTTACTCATCTCTTTTATGCAAATATCTATAATACGAAAATTCTATATTTACATCTAATAAATATTAAAAATTGCAAATATTTCACTCTCAAAGATTTTATTTTAAAGTTTTTATATGCATTACATTATATAATATTTTATGTTCAATATTTTGCAAATAACAGATTTATTTATAATATTTTAAAGTTGCATCACTGGCGTTCGATGTCCTTTTTGAGTCTTCCTCCTCTCAGTTCTCCTTGCAATTCTTCAAGGCACTCACACACGTTCGCAAAGCGAATACAAAAATTGCACGATGTTTTAAACGGCAGCCCGATGCATGTTTTGTCATTCGGAAAAAGTAAAACTTAAATATCATCGTACGGCACTCGTTTGACTCTGCCGCATCGTAACAAGTAACGACAAAAAAAGTGAGATCGAAAACATGGATAATAATAAGGATAGTACTATTGGAGAGGATAATGCGTTGAATGGTCTTCTCTGTGCCGCCGTGTGAATAATAAAGATGTAATAAACATATCAGAGATAAAGTCGAGTTATTTTTGACATGTTTATTGCACCCTTATTATTCGCACGGCGGCACCTCGCACAAGCCAGATCGTTCCGCATCGATGAGTTATTCTCTCCAATAGTATTATCCTTATTATTTTCCATAGTTTTCGATCTCATTTTTTTTGTCATTACTTGTTACAACGCGAACGTGTCGAACGTGTAATCCGTACGATGATTTTCAAGTTTTACTTTCGTCCGAATGACAAAACACGCGTCGAGAGTGCCGTTTAAAACATTGTGTAATTTTTGTATTCGCTTCGCGAACGTGTGTAAGTGCCTTGAAGGATTGCAAGAACTAAGAGAAGGCTCGGAAAGGTCATCGGGTGATGTAACTTTAAGTAATTATTTCTTTGTTATCTGTTATTTGCCAAATATTGCACGTATAATATTATGTAATGTAACGTACGTAGAAACTTTGAAATATTCAGTAAAAGATTTGCAATTTTTAATATTTATAGTTATTAGATAGAAATATATAATTCTTTTATTAGATACTGCATAAAAGATGAGTAAAAGTTTAATGTGTGTAACAATTTTTCAAATAATTATTGTAAACACTGCTATAATTTGGAAATACTACGTCTGTTACGTCTGTTATCAATTTTTGAACAACTTCGCTGTTGCAAATCGTGCCAGTAAGTCAAACCAATTTGTTTTATTTTAACCCATTAAGAAGATAAATTTAAAAATAACCTAAAGATTTTTTGTCTCCAAATAATTTTAGGAATCTGCCATTAACAAGTGATACGATTAGTCTGGAACACTCTGTTCATGGAATGATTTACGATTTTTCATATTTAGAAAAGATTATAAATTCTAAATTGTGATTTATAAGTGAATGGAGTAACTATAATTTTATTTACTTCATCTAAAATTATCGTCGAATGTATTTTCAGTGACGTGTTAATGCTTTTACGTTGCGATAAGTTATGGATTTATTCCGCGAATATTTTGATACGAGTAGAGAAAATATGTTCTTTTAATATATTATATTTATATATATATAATTTGTTGTTTATAATTGTTAAAATATATAACATAAAAAAATTATGAAATAATTTAAAAAGATGATTAAATTACTAACTACGCTACGCTCTTCTGGAATAGCGGGTATATTTTCAACGCGATAGTAAAGTGTTCATTATAACTGTGCCAGATATATCGAAAGGCCATTGAAACGGACGATATCTCTTTGATAAACGATATTTATGAGTGGGACGCGTGGAAAGCACGTCCGGAAAAGTAGGTTCATCGTATGATCAACTGTTTGTGTGAATATGGAAATCATTTCCACGTATCTGTTCGTTCGAACGTGCGCAATGAGATTTTCTACGCAATGAATCGATGATACTCGTCGTGTGTTCGCCGGCAAACACGCGCGATCTTTATGAACAGATAAGAATTCAGAGCATCGGTGTATAGCAGTACCCACTGTACCCTATGCATGCGATTATCTATCGTTGCAATAAAATCAATTTACGCCAAATTTAATTGTGCGGATTTTACCGCAGGATAAAATTTATTGCAAGTGATGTTTTAGCAATTATGCGATTGAAACAGAGCACACCCAAATTGCAAGCGATTTTCGAGTAAATGAATGTGTATCGCTGAACATGTGTGCGGGCTCTCAATATTTTTTTTGTATATGTTTAAAATACTCACTCAGATTATTTCAATAGCGCTTGTAGAGATAAAAATGTCAAATAAAAATTGCGGTCAATTAAACTTTTTTTTAATTGCAATACGCGATGCAATAATGCAATAACCAATAAACCGCAATTGCATCCTTTATAATGTTCTGCCATATTTATTGCGTTCGCTAATTAATTATAAGTAGTGCATATTTATCAGTATAAGAAATTGCTAATATAATTATTTGAAAGTATCATATTTTCTTTCCTCAGCCTGTCTTAGAAGCAAATTTTATAAAATACTATTTTTTTCGTTTTATACATTTTATATGTATATTTTTTTATTCCAATCTTTGGTTCTTTCTTCCGTAAAATCTGAATTTCGTAGATCCCCAATTCAAGAAGTTTCGTTTCTGTGTGAATCTTTTATTATAATTCTCGATTACAATGCATAAAAATAAAGTTGTAAATTTCTAGTATCATTTCTGAATCTCGTTTTCATTGAGTGTATCCTCGGTTTTATGGACATACATTCATGTCTGATATAGATCTTTCATTTGTTGTTGGTGTTTTTCATCAATCATTCATAAATATCTTTTATTGATATATTTCGAAATCGATGGATTATAATTTCATCGTTAAATATCCATGTCAAATTCAAATTTTCCTCGATCGACAAACAAATTATTCTGTGACATTCGTTTTCATAAATTTTGTTTCTCGATTTTCAGTTCATATATAAGCGATTGCTCTCTACAGTTTGGAACTTACATTAATCCTCTATAAATATTCGTTTCCATAGATTCCACGCTTCGTCTTCTTAAGAGAATTAAATTTTGCAAATTTTTAATTCCACAAAACATTTTCATAACTCCAATGTAATCTGTCAAGAGCTTACCCTTGTTTTTAGCAGCAAAGGGTTAAGACCTCCCCTAGAGAATACCGTATGCTAGGAACTATGGCGCTCATTTGCCATTCATTCCCAAAACTGGGTTGCTCGCAATTGTGCCTCCGGTTCTATCTTGCAACCGTCTGTGCTTGGAAGGATCATCTCAAGATTCAAATTCGATATCCATATCGAACGCGGGATCGATACGCCAAGCCAGGTATAATCGGCCCAGCAGCTACGACTGCGATCGAAGATTATGCGCATCGACTAACGACCCATATACCACAACGATGATGCAATCTGGATGCACCAGACTCGCTATATAGCGCAGCCATATACTTTATCGATACGAGATATGTATAACAGAACTGTATTTCAATACTTTTAGTGTGTCATTCAAAAATAATTTAAATCGAAAAAGTTATCTAAATTTTGGAACATTTTACAACATATACACAAAATTTCTCCGAAAATCTTGTATATTAATATACAAGATTTAATTTTCATGATTATTGTTCGCAAGCTAATAATCATATAACCAACATATTGCTTTTACAATTTGCTCGAAATATGTAGTAACAGACAAAACTTCTGATTCATTCACAACATGCTTTGGTGACGTAAATTAAATGTAAATTCAATATATCAAGAATATTTTATATGCTCGTAAATAAAGCATCGGATCACTCGACTATGTTGCTTGGAGAGATGCCTACTCTTAAATAGCAGAACGCCCGTACCGAAGTCAATCGTTCAATTATCGTCCGTAAGCTATATTTGAACCTTCATAAATCGCGCGACTTGTAAACAGATAAATGGTATTTATGTAGAAAAACTAAGTGTTAATTCTAATTACATTATTAAGACATTTTAAAAAAATCCACACGTTCTGAAAATATTTACTTAGCAAAATTAAAAAAAAACTGTTTATTGTTAATAAAAAGAGAACATACATGATATATATACCATGAGCGAAATATTCGATATATTAATGTTTTTTTACATAAATTTAATAAATTTTTGCGCAGCGACATTATCATTAATTATTATTAACATTAATATCATTAACAGCAATATTAGTATTAATTACTTAAACACCACACGCGAGTTAATTATTTTTCAAAAATTACTATTAAGTGAAATGAAATTACAGAATGGCGACAAATTATTATGCTTATTTAGTAAAGAAATGATTAATATTAATAACAAATCTAACAAATATACATATACTATGAGTTGTAAGAATAAAAAAAATATGGTTTCTCTC